TTTTAATTTAATTTAACATTGAATTTGAAGAATATTTATTTTATAAGTGAAGCATTAAAACAGTACAATTTTGAAGTAAGAATATAAATATATACTAAAACTCACATTATTTTAAAGGAATTCCACTGAAGTCTAAAAACTTAAAAACATAAAAATTGATTATATTTTTACATAGATCAACTGCCAACTCACCCAGGGCACATGAAAAGAAAGATGTGTAAAATATAATTATCACATAAACCGCGGCGAAGGAGTGTAATAAAGCCATTTTATAAAAAAGATATTACACTGGTGTAATAACACTTTGACGTGACGTCATTTGCGCTATATATAAACATAGCGTTAAAACGAGCTAATGTTAGTGTTACACTATAGGCGCGTCATTGAAAAATGACTCATTTTAAAAGTTTACTGTTCTTATTTTATATATGTGATAATTAGAATATTATATTCGTGTAGATTCAATACTAAATTTATTGAACTCATTGAATAAAACAATATTATGCTTGCCAGAGGCTCGCATAATATGATCTTATTCAACTGGTTCAATAAATTTAGTATTAAACTACACTCATTCAATATCCTCTATTTATGAAATATGCTCAGAAATAAATGTTTGTGTTATTTGTAGCCAAATTTGAAGGAAAAGCATTGCAAGATAGAATGGCTTTTCAATTTTTGTGTCATTTTTCATGATTATGATAATTTTTCAGAAAAAACAAAGTAAGCGAATGATATGAAATTTTGCACATGTTTTTTGTCTAGACCTACATCAAATGGAACATTTATCTCAAAAAAATATTTCCATTCACATTATGTCGAAAAAACCTTAGTGAAGTTCCTTTAAAAAGATTGGCTTTAAAAAGATATGTGGTTAATTAACATAAAACCTCCAAAACATTAACTTTTTTTGTCTTTTTGTTCTACTTATCCAGATAATGCAATGTCTGTATTCAGATTTCTAACTTTTAAGTACCAGAATAATAATATCTGTCATATGTTGCGGTTCGGACCGGAATATCCGTCCCGAGGGGACCCGCCCATTGGGCGGTAACGAGGCTTGCCGAGTTACCGCCCATGGGCGGGTTCCCGAGGGACGGATATTCCAATCCGAACCGCAAACATATGTTAGATATTTTTTCTTGCATATTCTGCCATATTATTTCATATCTAAAATGGTTTACCTCAATATGATATATGTTCATGGAAATTAAACTCATTTCATCCATAACTATTTTCTTACAATAGCGTATGAACTTACAACTTTAATAACAACGGCGAAATGACGTCATCCTAAGCACATATTTCCCTTCTAAAACGACGTCATTTACCGCGGTTCATTCATAAAGTGCGCTTAAATGACGTTGTTGTTAGGCACGCGACTCATCTGGCACCCCCCATGCCAGATGAAATTTCCGGCATGGGTAAAACTCACGGAAACGCCAGTCTGCTATGCAAGAATAGAACACTCTCAGTGATAAATGAGTGAGACTGGAGCACCTCATGAAATTCCGTATTCCAGTATATACGGGACAAGGCGCTTGAATGTTTAAATGTTAAAATCTCGCCTTTTCACCCACTAAAATATATTTTAAGACATCTAAATCATCTGTTCACACCAATTTATAATTATATGATCACAAATGAAATATGTAAGAATCAGCGAAAAAAATGTAATATTTTTTTACTTTGCGATCATGATTTCTGCAAGCGTCTAGAGGTTACTGGATAAATATCTTCAGGTATATTTTTTTTTCTCATTTCAGTATTCTATTACCTCACCTATGAAGGCTCAGTAGACCTAGACAGGTATGTAGGTGGTAGAAAATCTTGTTTTTGCTTTCCAACTTGTCATGATAAATCATTTATATTAATTATTTTTTATAGGCCAAGTTTTTGTAAATGCTATCATATAATTTCACAAAGTATAAGTTTCTTTTTTAAATGAAAAACCGTGTATTTAAATTAATATAATGCAGAAAAAAACTTGATCAGTGACTTTGTTTTTCATTATGACATGTATGATGTACATTGAATTAGAATTTATTAATCAACGAATACATTGTTAAAATATTTTTAATGGACTTGTCCTTGTTTCAATCTGGTCAAAACCTTTCATCAAATTTAAGGAATATTTTGAAATATGAATGTACTGACTGAATTACGAACAGTGGAGGCCAATATCAGATGGCACAGATCTAGGTTTGAACTGGTCATCTGTGCCAGATGATCTTGGTCTGCACTGGTCACATGGGTACAGTCAATTGCCACCAATAGGCTAATGGTGAAGGATAGCTTGAAATTCCTTGAATATACTTATTAAGTTATTTTGCAGTATAAAGGACCCAAATGAGAGAGCTTGCATGGAGATACAGATAATGGAGTTTGGGCAGGTTCCTAAGCAGCTGTTTACCACACCCCACCCTGTTAGATCTATATCAAAAGAACATCCACCTGATATGGCTATTCCTCCACATGTGATATCTCAAGAGCATAGGTCAAAAACCCCAGGTGAGAGAAAGACGGTTATGTTAGTTATACATGGATAATTGAATAAGGGGGTCTGTGGCTTAGTGCTTAAGGTCGTTGACTTCAAACTACTTGCCTTTCACCACTGTATGTTCGCATTGTGCAATTGTTAATGGATTCTGCAAGTGCAAAACTTATCTAGCTCAGCTTACGAAACATCGGTGGTTCTCCTGAGGTGCCCGTTTGTGCCTGAAATAATGTACAGAGGAGCACCTGATGTCTTCCTCCACCAAAAAAGCTGGAAAGTCACCATATGACCCAACCAAGAAAGGAAAACTGGTTGCATATAGATAATATTTCTTAACTTTTGAGAATTATCAGCAATGGATCAATGACTTTTATACATATGTGGGGAAGGTATACTTATGCATTTATATAGGTATGAAAATATGTCAATGAAGTAGCGGAATATTAATCCCTGACAATTGATCTTGAATATTGGGTCTAATGATCATAAATTTTGTCTCTCACAGTTGATTCAGAAATCATTTGGATTAGTAGTTTTTCACTTGAATTTTATTTTTACTGGTAAGTCATTCAGAAAAGCCAGTTAGTTATCCAGAAAAGCTTGAAATTTAACTGGGAAAGCAGATCTGAACATGCCATTAATGTAGACTCTGGTAACACTTCATGTTCTTCACTCAGAGAGAGACTCATTCATACCGAGTCTGCAACATTTTCAATTTTGAGATTATAAATGTTCATTAGGAATTCCCTCTATAATTCTATACAGCTAGTTGTTTAGGGCAGACTTTATTATGTCAATTGTGTGTTAAACTGCACAGGAACTGCTTTTGATTTTAAAAGTTAAGACTTTATTATGTAATTTGGAGGGTAAACTACCAACATCACCACCACACACAGAAATGAAAGCATATCTAAATTTGTTATATCTTTTTCAGCGTAACATATTTTCCATATTTTCAATGGTATCTTGCTGAACTACTTCCTTCTAAATTGAGTCAATACTCAAAATTTAAGGCGAAGTCATACAAATTGTGATGTTAAAAAAAAAGAGAAAAATGTATATAATGAGCAGAAAATTCAAGTGATATGAAAATTATCATATTTCACTGGTGGCCACTACCAGTCTTGAAATATTTATTCTCAGACACCTCGATTAATATAAATCCTGTATTTATAGAAAAAAATAAATATTAGACCTCTATATCTTTGTACCGTCAAATGTTGCATAAATAAAAAAAAATCTTAGCTAAGCAATTATGTAAATAAAATCATTTCACTTCATAGCAACAGCTGCTAGCTAAATTTCAAAATGATTTATGATTTTTTTTTTTTTAAATATATTAATTTTATTCTCTACATTGAAATAGAGTTCTACAAAAATACTTCAGTGCATAGATTTATTACTTTATGTTACAAAGCAAAAACTTATATGAGTATCAATGACTAAAGTTTCGTCTTTCCTTTTACAGTATTTATTTATTTTTTAAATGGCCATACCAGAAACCTTACATCCTACACAAAGTCCGTGAAATCTTAGACATTGTCAACAGAAAGCACACCTTGAACAAAAGTGACAAATACTTTTACTGAGAACAAATTTTTTTGTACCTTTCTGAAAACATCTGATGCATTTTGAGTAGTAGATTCTTGGTAGAGTTTTAGATCTTATTTCCATACTGGAAAATAAAAACAAGAGTTAGAAATGTATTTAAAATAGAAAGATAAATGTCAGACATTGACATTTTGTGAATAACTGTAAGTTTTTCTTTCAATGTTTTGAATATACTGTTTAAATCTAAAATAGAAAGTTGTTTGTTAAAGATCTAAACTGAAGTCCAGTCCAAAAGCCAAAAAAGATAAAATTTGAATATTTTTTTACATAGATCAACTGAAGCACTGAAAAGGGTAAAATATTGATAAGTTAATAAAGAAAAATTAATTGTAGATCAATAGAGCAATTCTGAGCCGATTTCAGTAAAAAGTATTGCAACACGTTTGATTTGAGGTCATTTTGCACAAGAAAAATTATTATTCTGGAAAAACAGGGTAAAGGAATGATCTGAAACTTTGCACATGAATTTTTGGTCCAGACCTTCAGCAAATGGTAACAAATCTCGGAAAAATATTTCCCGTCCTATCATGTCAAACAACCTCAATCGAGTCCCTTTAATTTAAAATGCAAGTATTGCAAGAGAATTTTATCAGATCTAATATACTTTTAAAACTCGGAATAAAATGTTATTATTGAAATGCAAGCATCATGAAAAATTAATCTGATCAAATTAAGGATCAAATTTTAGAAAAGGATAAAATTTTGTAGTCACTACATGAGGATAGTTGCTCTCGTGAGGTTAACTAATATTATTGTGAAGTCTTACATACCATTGTTGTAAAGAGGGAATTGTTCTACTGTAAGAAAGGTCAGGGGTCAAAGGGCTCGCAGTGAGACTTACTGTAAAATCTTTGTTCGGTCAGTAACTTGTTGTAGGGGGAACTGCATGTCTATGTTACAGAGGGCAGCAGTTGTGGAGATAGCACTGTATTTATAGATGGCCACCCTTTTATTTTATCTAAATTCTACTTTTGTATTAGATATGAAACCTGTGAGCATGTGTTACTGAGAAGTTTCAAATCATATGGTATATTCTCCAATAATTGCCCCTCCTCCCATAAGTGCCCATTCCTCATTATGACATAGAAAAATAAAACTGAGTTACTAATGACAATAATAATATCTGTCATATTTTTGCGGTTTGGATTGCAATATCTGTCCCGAAGGATGGATATTCCAATCCAAACTGCAAACATGCCAGATATTTTTTCTTGTATATTCTACCACATTTCATTATGTTTAAAACTATTTACCTTAAAACACACATTTGGGTCGCTACCTTGAAGGTCAAGGTCACAGCATGACCTTGCAGCAAAATCGTGTCTGGCCCATAACTTTGTTATTTGAAGTCGGATTTTTCAACAATTTCACAGAAATAATGACTATATTGAGACGACCTGTCTCGCTCAACATTTGGGTCACTACCTTGAAGGTCAAGGTCACAGCATAACCTTGCAGCAAAATCATGTCCAGCCCATAACTTCGCTATTTGAAGTCAGATTTTACAACTATTTCACAGAAATGATAACCATATTGAGACGTGTTGCATGCAGTATTTGGGTTGTTACCTTGAAGGTCAAGGTCACAGCATGACCTTGGAGCAAAATCGTGTCCGGCCCATAACTTCGTTATTTGAAGTTCGATTTTACAACTATTTCACAGAAATGATCACCATATTGAGATGATGTGTTGGGCACAGCATTAAGGGTCGCTACCTTGAAGGTCAAGGTCACAGCATGACCTTGGAGCAAAATTGTGTCCGGCTCATAACTTCGTTATTTTACAACTATTTCACAGAAATGATCACCATATTGAGAAGATGTGTCTGGCGCAAGTCGGTAGGTAGATCTCATTGAGTAGAAGTGCAGTGCAAAGAACAGTTACTCTGCGTGGCTTAGTTTGGAATTATCACACTTTGAAATTTGTCTGGGACATAACTCTGAAACTACAAAAGATATACTTTTCTGAGTCCGAAACCTAGTCGGGTGCATCACCCGGTTCATCCAGCTCTTGTCCTAAGCATGCCATTGTACAGCACGCAACTCATCTGGCACAGCCCATGCCAGATGAATTTTCTGGCATGTGTAAAACAAACGGAAAGGCCAGTCTATTATGCAAGAATAGCTGTTGATTTTTAATACAAGGACATAACACTGATTTTAATATCTGAACATTTAAGGGATTTGTCAGAAAATACACAGAAACATTAAGTTAGATGTACAATTGCATTTATTTTATCTCAATTGAAACCAAGTTCCTCATCAAGTTCACGTCTGCTTCCTGGAACAAACCAGTACTTGTTAAATATGAGGAAACATGGTTGTGACCTGATAAAGCCTTGAACCCAAAATCCCTTGGTTGGGTGGCAGACACCTTTAAACCACAAGGTCGCCCCCCCCCCATTATAATAATATTTTGATCCTGACCTTGATCATTATTATGAATTGGTTATAAACACATTGCCTGGAAACATACAGCTTAATATATGATATTTTGATATTTTTCAGAAACAGATCAAGTAGAAGAAGATGCAATATTACAGACTATAGATTTTACCAATATGCATAAAATTGTGACATTTTCAAAGCATAAGGAGTGAGTTATCATGTTATCAAATTTCTATAAAACAATTAAAGACAACTTGTCAAACCTGTTTATCTGGTACTTTTGAGTTACAGGTGAAAGATCTTGATTGGATAAGATTAGAATTACTATAGTTTGATTGGTTAAAATTAGAATTAATCCAATTTCATTGTCTAAGCTTAGATATATGACAATTTAATTTAGTTAGTTTAGATCTATGTAAATTTGATTGGTAAAGCCTAGTGTGACAATTTGATTGGTAGGCAATGCTGTATAAATTCTTTTATGGGTCAACAGTGGTAGTTACTTGTAGAAAAAAAGGTAAGAATTGTTACATAATCAAGGACATTTTTGTTAATTAGTCAACTGCCAGTATAATTATTGTATTTGATGGAAAAACTGTTAATCGTCTCCATCTCCTTATGAAAAAATAATAGAAACAAATACAGAGAAAAAAATTTCAATTTACAAATTATGTTACTAGGTTTTCAATTTGTTTATTTTCATTTTTTTTAAGTCTCCTATTTTGTTATTAATCACAGTGGCTTTTATTTAAGATATTAAGCAAATCAGCTTTGTTATTAAGTGTATAGTTTATACATATTTCAAAGTGTTTTCTTTACCAAATTTCAGTTCAATAACTGATGTAAAATTATGTTTGGAGAAAAAGATGGCATTTTCTGTCTCACAAGGTAAATTTTGTTTGAACAATTACTCAAAAGCTTTTAATTATCATTAATGTAAGCTCTTATTATTTTTTTTTTTTGAGAATTTATTAAAAGTAAATTTAGAATGACCAAAGTTTTGTTACATCAATTTTGACCCATTCTGTGGATCATCTCAGCAGAGAGCTAGCCAGTTAAACATTATTGGCTATTCTGGGTAACTTACCAATAATGATCAATTTCTCTGCAAGTGATCCACTACTTATACTTATTCCTCATTAATCAGTGGAGAGAGGCAAATGACTATGTGAATCATGTCTGAAAACAATGGTCATGAAAATAATAACGCCTTGTTTGAGAATCAAACAAGGGAACCATGGATTACTAACCCAGTGCTTTCTCTGTTGAGCAACGCCAGGGGACACTAATTTTTGTTGACATGTAATAGCATAGAACCTGTCACTAAAGAGAAAGATAGTCTGTATGAAGCCAATTAGGACAGTCTGTTGAGCAGCAGAATGGTTTATTGAGGGTCCAGTTTTCAAATTCTGGTCAATGTGCACAATCATGTTTCTGACTCGGTGACGGTCATGCAACATGCAAGAGCATGGCCGTTTATGTGCACATTTTATCCTATAATATGTATTTTGTTGTTAATGTTGATGATATGATTTTAATAATGTAATGCATTTAAATTGTTTTGTATACTGTAAGGGAAAATGAATTATTCAAGGTTTTTATTAGCTTGACTATTTTCGAAGAATATGGATAGCTAATGTACTCAACCATTCATTGGTTTTGGCATTGGCCTCACACTTCGGTTAAGTTTTTGTGTTCAAGTTGGTATGTCAAAAACCACTAAAGAGAATGGATTGAAACTTCAGACACTTATTTAACAGCATAATAGATCACTGTCCAAGGGCCATAACTCTAACAAGGATTTTGACAGAACTATGTTTTAGAAATTAGTATATTCAACATTGTTCAAGCTCTAGTATAACTATCAAGCACTGAGAATAGTTCAGCATACTGTCCTACAAACAGCTCTTGTTTGATTTCTGTTTTACAGAAGAAGAAAAAACAGTTTACCTCAATAATCATATTGGATTTGAACATATTAATCATATTTTATTGTGATAATTTGTCTAGTTTGCCTTGAAAAGGTTACATGATAGAAAAATGAACATAAAATTCAGGATATTTGATCGACTAAAGTGATTGGAAAATCATAAAAATGAGGTTGACATTTTGCGTAGTGTAGAATTTCCTTTTAAGATAATCCCAGTGATTTGTTTTATATTCTAGTAGCATTTTATTTCCAGACAGTTTACTCAAAACAAACATAGATTTCAGGATATTTCCTCCCTTAAAATGATTGGCAATGCATAAAAATTGAGGTTTGACATTTAGAAAGTGAAGGATTTCCTTTTAAGATAAGCCCGATAATTTGTTTCCTATCCTTGTAACACTTTATTTTCAGATAGTTTACTCAAGTTATATTGTCTAGAAGAGCAAAGGCAGTTGAGGAGCGTTACCATTGCAAATATGGTATGATTATTTTATTTCCCATTTTTTGAAGGCCATTTATTTATATTTAAACCTTATTATCCCAGAGAGAGCAGGAGATGTATAATAATTATAGGAATAGAGACAAATTTATGTTATAAAAACATTACAATATAAGAAGAGCTTTAAACAGCCCCTCTTAATAGATAGATTTCCCTAAATGAAAAGTATTATAGTAATTGTTATTGAATACCTTTTAATGAAACTTGTGAACAGAGAGTGTTCAAGACCGCATTTAACAACAAAAGTGCGGAAATCCACCTTTCAGTAGAGAGTTAGTCTGAAATCCACCTGTCAATAGTGAGTGTGAAAATCCACCTATCAATAAAGAGTAAGTATGAAAACCCACCTGACAGTAGAGAGTAAGTGTGAAAATCCACCTGTCAGAAGAGAGTATGTGTAAAAAAATCCACCAGTCAATAGAGATTGTGAAATAATCCACAGGTCCATAGAGAGAAGGTGATCTTTAGAGAGTATGAAAAAACCAATTGTCAATAGCCAATACTGAGTGTGAAAATCCACCTGTCAATATAGTAAAAGTGTGAAAATCCACCTGTTAATAGAGAATAAGTTTGAAAATCCATCGGAAAAAATATAATCCACCTGTCAACATAGAGTGTGAAAATCCATCTGCCATTAGAGAGTACATGTAAGTGTGTAAATACACATGTCAATAGAGAGTATGAAAATTCACCTGCCACTAGAGAGTGAGTGTAAAAAAACCCACATGTCATTAGTGTGAAAGTCTACCTCAAAATTGGGAGAGTGAAAAAAATAGCTTTCATTGAGTGTGAAAATCCACCTTTCAGTAGGGGAGTATTATAGATATACACTATTTCTGAATAGTGTAAAACCACTTCTTACTTTAGAATATTTAAGACTTTCATTATTTCAGTAGTCACTGATAATATTGTCTCATTTAGGTTTAGCTTAAGCAGACATATAGAAATATTGTTTTTATTTTTTTATGCCCCCGGGCATATAGTAATTGAACCGTCCGTCCGTCTGTCCATACGAGGTTAACCTAGAACAGCAAGTTGGATTTTTCTTAAGTTCTACCTGTACCAATGGCTTCTTAGTTTACACACTTTCTAATCAATACAAAGTACATGATCTTGTCAAGTTACATAACTTGCTTCCATTTACCAAGTTATTGCCCTTTTCAGCTCTTAGAAAATGAATAATGGTTAACCTAAAACGGCAAGTTGGAAATATCTTAAGTTCTATCTATACTTATGGCTTCATAATTTCCACACTTACTTATCAATACAAAGAACATGATATTGCCAAGTTAAATAACTGTGTCATCCATATTTATCAGTTATTTCCCTTTTTTCACTTTGAAAATAGGGCCTTGTCTGGTTAACCTATTCCTGCAAGTTGGATTTATCATAAATTTCTCTTAATTGCTTAATTTATTTAATGATATCTTGCATATTTGGTAGTTGGATACCTTTAATGGTCCTCTAATTTTTTGTGGAGTAAGTAGTCTCGAGGGTCAAAGTCAAGGTCACTGGTTTAGAAAATAAATTTAAACATTTTTGCTCATACAGCCTTTATTTTTTGGTTGATGTCTTTCTTGTTTAATACAAACATGCCAAGGGAGGTCCTCATTCTTTGGGTATAGTAAGGAGTCATTTGGGTTAAGGTCAATGTCACCAATGTCAAGGTCACCAATGTTAAAAATAGATTTTTACATTTTTACAGGTGTATTAATCATATTCTATAGACAGATGTCATTTATAATTGATAGGAAAATAAAATTTGATGGAGTTAGTGGTCAGTTGGGTCAAGGTCACCAGTGCTAAAAATAGATTGTTTACAGTTTTGCTTATACAGCTTTTATTTATTGACAGATATATTTCATATTTGGTAGGAAGATAACTTGCATGGTATTCCTTCTTTTGTCAGTTGGCACAAGATCACTTGTACTAAAAATAGATTTTTACACTTTTGCCCATACAGGCTTTATTTATTGACAGGTGTATTTCATATTTGATAGGAAGATAACTTGCATGGTATTCTTCCTTTTGATTGAGTTAGGGATCAGTGTGTCTAGGTCACTAGTGCTAAAAATAGATTTTTACACTTTTGCCCATACAGCCTTTATTTATTGACAGATATATTTCATATTTGGTAGGAAGATAACCTGCATGTTATTCCTACTTTGGATGGATTTAGGGGTCAGTTGGGTCAAGGTCACAAGTGCTAAAATAGATTTTTACACTTTTGCCCATACAGCCTTTATTTACTGACAGATTTATTTCATATTTGGTTGGAAGATAACTTGCATGGTATTCTTCCTTTGGATGGAGTTAGGGGTCAGTTTGGTCAAGGTCATCAATGCTCAAAATAGATTTTAACATTTTTGCCTATACATCCTTTATTTATTTACAGGTGTATTTCATATTTGGTTGGAAGATAAATTGCATGGTATTCTTCCTTTGGATGGAGTTAGGGGTCAGTTTGGTCAAGGTCATCAATGCTCAAAATAGATTTTAACATTTTTGCCTATACATCCTTTATTTATTGACAGGTGTATTTCATATTTGGTAGGAAGATAACTTGCATGATATTCTATAGGTGTCAGTGGGTCAAGGTCAAGGGTGCCAAGTATAGATTTCTTACATTTATATATATTTGATAAAGTTGAATATTTATCACTTCACAAGTCATAGCATTGACTTGGCAACTTATATATTTCTCAATTACAAAACGCCATGAGTGAATGGGTAATCATTTTTTGAAATATTGCTACTGACAAGAATCGGAGCCGGGGGCATTTGTGTTTAACAAACATGTTCTTGTTTAATTGATTATTAATTTGAAATGATACTGTGTTTTGAAATTTAATTTAGTGTTAACCATTAATTTTTAATTATTTCAGGCCTTGTCATCTTGTATAGTGATGCCAGATTGTAAAACTGTGATATGTGGTGCTTGGGATAATAATGTGTAAGTTTTTGGTTGGGTTGTATGTTGCACCAACACTGTTTAGGTCATATGTCAACTTTCCAGCTTTATTGGTGGAGGAAGACTTCAGGTGCTCCTCCTTTTATTTTTTCAGGCATGCATGAATGGGCACCTGAGTAAGACCAACAATGTTCCATAAGCTAGCTGGATAGCTTCCTCACATGAAATAATCTAAAGTCCCTGTCGGGATTCAATATCCCTGCAGAGAGCGGCAAGTGGTTTGAAGTCAATGACCTTAACCACTTTGGTACAGAATGTGTACACAAGGAAGCTGTTTGGTTATTTAAGTTTCTGCTTTTAGCCAGTCGCTGGTTTCTGTTTGGTTATTTAAGTTTCTGCTTTTAGCCAGTCGCTGGTTTCTTCTTGCATTATTGTATGAATAGGTTCCTGTGGTGTATTGTTATTCTATACAGTAGCAGTTTGTTGTAATTCTATACAAAAAGAAAACAAAACAGTTGGAAATCATGCAAATAATTATACAGTAAGCAAAGAGGCACAATTTATTTTTTTTTATTTATTTTTTTTACTTTCTTTCATATATTTTTGAATTCTTTTTCAGATATTTTACATTTTCTTTTTTGTATTTTTACTTTCTTTCATGTATTTTATACTTCTTTTCAGGTATTTTTACAGTGTAGAGTATGGGAATATATTAGACACATTACATGCACATGATGACGCTGTAATCAACATCTATTGGAGAAATGATCTTCTGTTTACAGCCTCATGGGACTCTACTGTCAAGGTATACGGGTTTTTTTATTTTATCTGACATTTGTCAGATATTACCTCTGTGTAAATAGTTGGATTTCTCTTACTTTATCACTTATTTCTTATTTCTCTTTTATGAATTCCCTGAGGGAAACAAATTTACAATATACCATTGGTTATATTCTAAGGAATTGTATGCAGAAGTTCAAGAGATTCAACTAATGCAATACTTGTATTTCAAAAGCATAACCTTATGACATATATTAGGTCTTTTATTCTCACTCTGGCATCCACTTTTGTTTGATGGGACACTTGGTCATCTATATGATCTGTATTTTTCTCCTTAAATGCTATTTATTGTATCATATTTAGCTATGACAGATATAATTATGTTTAATTTATTTGCCTTTTAGCTATGACAAATGGCACTGGGCATTATATTTAGTTTGACTTTTGTCTATTATATTCAGCCATGACAGATGCCATTATATTAAAGTTTGTCTTTTTTCTGTGGCACCTGGCATTATATTAATTTTCTCTTTTGTCTTTTATATTCAGCTATGGCAAATGCCATGTCCAACAGCAGATGATAGTTTTATTGCAGCAGAATACTTTGTAAGTTTTTTGTTTTATCAATGTATAGTTTATTTTCTGTAAATATGTAAATGATATTTCTCAAACGCACGCTTTTAAATGCATGATGAATCAAAAATGATGAATGAAAAACTATACACACACACCTCTAGTACACGTTGTACACTTGGGAAATGCTTTTATCAAACACACATTGCACAATGCATGTTCGCACAATATTTGTAAAATGAAAAGCAATTTTGAGACAACTGAAATGTTTACCCTGCTGTACTGACCCATGACTAGCTATTTGGAAACCTAGGTTTGGCATAGCGTGTAATCTTACGTCATAACCATTAACACTTGCGGCCAAGTTTCCATATCAAAGTACGTTAAGCATGGAAAGACATAGACAATGAAAGACAATAAACACGATTTTCATAAGAACTTAATATTTTGCACTTTTGATTTGCACTGATAATATACTATTGATATTTAAATGATTTTCACACAACTAGAAGCTCATAGATAAACCTTTATTGATATCATCTGAATATAAGTGTTTCTAATGTTTATGGTACTAAATCATGGAAACAGTTCATGACAAGCCAAAAAAAATTGGTAAAATGATTTAAGTGAAGTAAAACAAAAAAAATCCCCCCACCTTGAAGCCAGGGTATACAGATTTGGCATTGTCTGTCGGGCAGATCATTTGCACTACCAATAGGGATAGGGGACATTTAACTGTGAACAAACAAAAGAGAACAAGTGTTCATTCAGTAACAGAAGAGGAAGGGGCAAATGTAACTCTTTTCATAATACCTATCTTCATTATTTATAAAACACTTTTAGTGGCATTCATGACTATCACATGACAGCTTTTGTTTAAATACTGAATTTGATTCCAGGGTTTTAAACTCATAAAGAATTGGAGATATCAATTCGAAATTTTACAACTTCATCTATATTAATGATAACCACGCTGTTAAAGAACCATTTCTTTATTTTATATGAATTTGGAGTTATTGCCCTTTATAATTTTATACATTTAATTAGCTCACTAGAGCTGAAGGCTCAGGATGAGCTATTAGTATCAAAGGGGATGCTCGGGTGTCCGTCGTCCATTGTCATGCGTCAACAATCGTCTTCTTCTCTGAAACTACTAGGCAGATTTACTTCAAATTTGGTCTGTAGCATCCTTGTGACAGTCACACTTAAATTTGCTCATGTCATTCCAATTGGCCCCTTTTAGGGGTCAGCAGAGCCAAAAATTGAAAAACCTTAAAACATCTTCTTCGAAGGATGATCACCAAACTTTGTCTGTAGCATTCTTGGGTAGTGTTTTATCAAGTTTGCTCATATTAATTTGATTGGCCCCTTTTAGGGGCCGCAAAAGCTAAAAATAGAAATACCTTTAATTGTCTTTTTCTAGAGAACTAATTGATGGATGATCACCAAACTTTGTCTCTAGCATTCTTAGGTAGCCTTTTATCAAGTTTGCTTATATTTTTTTGATTGGCCCCATTTAGGGGTCTCTAGGACTAAAAATAGAAAAAAACCTTTAAACACCTTCTCCTACAGAACTAATGGATGGATGATCACCAAACTTTGTTTGTTGCATTCTTTAATAGTCTTTTATCAAGTTTGCTAAGATTATTTTGATTGGCCCCTTGTAGGGGCCGCAAAAGATAAAAATAGAAATACCTTTAAATGTCTATTTCTACAGAACCAAGATGGATGATCACCAAACTTTGTCTGTAGCATTCTTAGGTAGTCTTTTACCAAGTTTGCTAATATTATTTTGATTGGCCCCTTTTGCTAATATTATTTTGATTGGCCCCTTTTAGGGGGCCGCAAAAGCTAAAAATAGAAATACCTTTAAATGTCTACAGAACCAATTGATTGAAGATCATTAAACTTTGTCTGTAGCATTCTTGTGTAGTCTTTTATCAAGTTTGCTCATATTAATTTGATTGGCCCCTTTTAGGGGTCTCTATAGCTAAAAGTAGAAATACCGTTAAATGTCTATTTCTAGAGAACTAATTGATGGATGATCACCAAACTTTGTCTGCCGTATTCTTGAGTAGTTTTTTTATTAATTTTGCTCATATGAATTTGATAAGCCCCTATTAAGGGCCGCTTAAGCTAAAAATAGAAATACCTTTAAATGTATATTTCTACAGAACTAATGGATGGATGAACACCTAACTTTGTCTGAGGCATTGTTGGGTAGTCTTTTATCAAGTTTGCTCATATTAATTTGATTGGCCCCTTTTAGGAGTCTCTTTAGCTAAAAATAGAAATACCGTTAAAGGGCCGCTAAAATTAAAAATAGATATACATCTAAACGTCTATTGATAGACAACAAATTGATGGATGATCACCAAACTTTGTCTGTAGCATTATTTGGTAGTCTTTTATTAAGTTTGCTCATATTAATTTGATTAGCCCCTTTTAGGGGCCGCTAAAATTAAAAATAGAAATATGTGTAAACATCTTCTCCTACAGAACTAATTAATGGATGATCACCAAACTTTGTTTGTAGCATTTTTGGGTAATCTTTTATCAAGTTTGCTCATATTTATTTGATTGGCCCCTTTTAGGGGCCGCTTAAGCTAAAAATAGAAAAAAAACCTTTAAACATCTTCTACTTCAGAACCAAATGAAGAATGATCACCAAACTTTGTCTGTAGCATTCTTGGGTACTTTTTTTATCAAGTTTGCTTATATTTATTTGATTAGCCCCTTTTAGGGGCCACTAAAACTAAAAATAGAAAAAAACCTTAGAACACCATTTCCTACTGAAATAATTGAAAGATGATCAAAAAACTTTGTTGCATTCATAGGTAGTCTTTTATCAAGTTTGCTCATATAGTTTGATTAGCCCCGTTTAAGCTAAAGCTTAAATACCCCAGGTCATGGCATTTCTTCAAATTATTGTTTTAACATATTCTATGCTTAAATTTAATATTAGAATATATTGACATTCCAACACTGAAAAGCAGTTGTTTCTGGTGAGCGACTCAGGGCCAACATGGCACTCTTGTTTATTTTTATTTTAATCTGAAATAATGAAGTATTAGAGATATAAACTTTAAGCATCATACATTGATGGATGTTTTGAAGGAAACAATATTGTTCACGAGCCATAATTCTCTTTTGTGTAATTTAAGAATGACCTCCCTTTGCTATTTTTGGGAGCCATAAAATCTAAAAGAATTTTTGGGGCCATAAATCTAAAAGAATTTTAGGTGTCAACATTATATCTGTCATTTAAGAGTGATTCAGTGCATAGGAGAAATAACATTTATGCTCTAGTGTACAGTGTATAATACTAAGAAGCTTTATAGTTTAAAGCTAACTTAGTGATTTGAATCATACGACGGGAGATACCAATTCAACAAAATTGCTGATGTGAGTTATGAATGTCATGAATACTTTAATAATTTTTTAATAATTATGAAATAACTATTTACAATCTGTTACTGTGTTTGAATAAAAAAATTGTAATACTTTTGCTATATACAAGATTGTTATCACGGTAATTAAAATTAAAAGTAAACAGTGTTGAAGTTTTGAATACATGTACATTCAGCGTCTCTGTAGTTTTTTGTAAACTCAACACTTTTTACAATAATACTAAAAGTGTTCTTCAAATAATTTTCCATAATAATATTAACTTTAAACATGAATAAAACTCGTTGGCATAAAATTATCTTGCTATTTTTAGCTCACCGGTCACAAGCGACAAGATGAGCTTTTGTGATCGTTTTTCGCCCAGTGTCCCTCAGGCGTCCGTTATCTTTAAACTTAAACCAAATCACCTCATCAAGCAAAGAACCAATAACATTCAACATTCACAGGAATGTTCCATTTGTGGTCAGCTTAAAAATTGTTCAAAGGCTTATATATTCGTTGCAGAACTCTTAGATATTTAGCATGAGACATCTTCTAGTGAGTGTCGACCAGGTTTGTTCAAATAAAAGCCCTGGGGTAAAAAATGTTCCCGCCCCAGGTAGTCGTTGATTTTCCTTATTTGTGTATAGTAAAAACCTTCTTTTCAAAAACCCAAAGAGCTAGAGCTTAGATATTAAGCATGAAACATCTTCTAGTGAGTGTCTACCAAGTTTGTTCAAACAAAAAGCCTTTGGGTCGAAATTTGCCCCCGGAGGGATCAATATTTTCCTTTTATGTATTAATAAAAAACTAAGATATAGAGCATGAAACTTCTTCTAATTGTTGTGTACCAAGTATGTTCAAATTAAAGCCCCAGGGTTTGAATTGGCCCGGCCCTGGGAGTCATTGATTTTCTTTTTATGTATAAAGTTAAAACTTAAAAATCTTCTTATCAAAAACACAAAAAGCTAGAGCTTAGACATTTAGCTTGAAACCTGTTCTAAGTATACCAAGTTTGTATAAATAAAAGCCCTGGGGCCAAATTTGGCCCCGTCCCGGGGTCATTGATTTTTACACATGCAATATGTTGTTTTTGCACATGCACTATTTCAGATACAAATATGAAATTTGTGATATCAGTTTAAGATTAAGATTTATATCTGCTTTTGTTAATAGTTTACAATATTGCTTGATCCTTGTCATGAAGATCTTTTATATACAGGTAAGTGATTTCAGGGCCATCATGGCCCTCTTGTTTTATCATGCTTCCCCTTTTTTTCGAAGAAACGATGATGACAGTTTTTAAGCCAACTATCGAGAACTGATTACGTTATTTTGTTTAATCTTTGTTCAAGTTTATGTCAATTTGTAGATGTAAATGCAGTTTTCATCAGTTTAAGCGATATCGCGACTGTAGTATAGTTTCTTTGTGTCTCCACACCAGCAAACAGGATAGGGACACTTCAGATCCTGCAGCACAATCTTTCCTATAGAGCAGTCGTGTGATATCTCTTGTATCACCTCTCTCTCCCGGTCACAAACATTGAGAATACTATCATCTGACAGTGCTATTCCTCGAGGTGACTACCTGCCGATCATTTCAACTTGCCAGTTTAATCTTGTCACAGTGTTCATGTCATAGTTAGATACATAAATAGAATCACTGTTACTTGTTATATGCCATTTTAATTGGAAAATATTTCCGCTAATCTTTTTCAAGTTTTTGCCATTCATATCAAGGATCTGGAGTTTTGTAGGGAAAGAGAAAGACACAATAAGTTTACCTTGCTGACAACTTGTACGCCAACATGCTCCACTTACTTCAATAATGCGGGTTTTTATGATTTTGGTTAGATGACATTGAAAGAAACTGTACTGTATTAATGCCAGGAATGATGACAGCAAGTTCATTACTTCAGTGATACCCCATGGTTTACTATCTAGTTGTAATCGATTGGACACATATTGAAGGCTTGTATTTACCATCATGACAGCAACGTTTATCAGTCAGTGATGATGAGAATATCGGGAATTATGAGAGTCATTCCTGTTATGCAGCACCTGCTCTTATCATTTGTTTTCACACAGATTTCTCCCATGTATGAAAAATAATTTTTAGCTCACCTGTCACAAAAGTGACATCTGTCAGTTGTCCCTAAACTTTTACTTTAAATGACATCTCCTCATAAACCTTAAGTTTAAAACCCAAACAGCTTAAGCTTAGATATTTGTCATGAAACATCTTCTAATGAGTGTCTACAAAGCTTGTTAAAAAAAAAAAAAACAAAACAAGATTGGCACCGCCAAAGGGGTTGTTGATCTTCCTTATATGTATACATGTTTAAAAAAAACTTTAAAAATCTTCTTTTAAAGAATCCAAATAGATAGAACTTAGATGTCATGCATGGAACATCTTCTAGTAAGTGTCTACCAAGTTTGCTCAAATAAAAGGTCTGGGGTCCAAGAGGGTCATTGATTTTCCTTATATGTATATGGCAAACACTTAAAACTCTTTTTTTAAAAAACACAAATAGCTAGAGCTTAGATATTAAGCATGAAAAACCTTCCAATGGGCGTCTACCAAGTTTTTTCAAATAAATATCCTGGGGTCAAAGTTGGCCTATCCAAGGGAGTTATTGATTTTTCATAATATGTATAATGTAAAAACTTAAATAATCTTCTTTTAAAAAAGGTAAAGAGGCTGGAGCTTAGATATTTAGCATGAAACATCTTCTAGTGAGTGCTACCAAGCTTGTTCAAATAAAAGCACTGGGGTCAAAATTGGTCCCCAGGGGTTCATTGATTTTCCTTGGTATGTACACATCTTTTGTAACTGTTTTTTTCCCTAAGCAATAACAACCAGCTATGTTTTTACACATGCACTATTTCAGATACAAATATGAACTTTGTGATATCAGTTTAAGATTTAGATTTTTATCTGCATTTGTTTATAGTTTACAATATTTTTTTTTCCTTGTCATGGTGAGTTTCAGGACCATCAAGGCCCTCATATATTTGTTCAAATTTAGTTTCTGTATTTACTGTTTTCTGTTGGATTGCACCCAAAGACTTTTTTGCTTTTAGCTGATTGAGTATTTCTCCATTCGGTTTAAATCTGTATTTTTTGACATTATATGATAAGATTTGTAGTGATTTTTCCTTGACATCGTTCAATACTTGTTCAGCAAGTTTGAGTTCGATGAAGAGGTTATCAGCTTGCTTAGATTTATTGAATTGTTTAATTTTTTCTGATGTTTCCATAAGAGACTTGGTTACATCTTCACTTGTTGTTTCTACTTCATTCAAATGTTTCTTTCTTTTTTGTTTAATCCTTTCAGCTTGACTCTCCAGTTTATCTAGTCTTTGGTTGATCTGCTCCCGAAAAGTTTTAATGTCTGCCAAAGCATCTTCAATCGATCTTTTGGAATTGTGGGTTGTTTTCTTAACGTCCTCTACTATGAATTGAAATTGGTTCAAAGTATTATTTATTTCTTTTGTGACAGCTTGATAGTGTTTGCTGTCTATTGTATTGCCAGAAATATCGGATATAAAGTCAACTTTGCAGGAAGCAGTGTGGTGTTCAAGAGTAAAACAAACCATGCAAAGTATTTTTTCATGGTTATGACAGTAGAACCCAATAATTTCTTTTTGATGCTTTAAACATGTTATGGTCTGATCATTAGACTGACCTGTATTGGTGGATGTTGAGGGTTGCTGCAATGATGTAGGAATACTTGATGCATCTTGAAGTATATGGTGTCTGGTCAGTTCGTGTTTTTTGTGCACTGTAAAACATGTCTTGCAAAGGTTTTCCCTACCATTAGTGCAGTAACCGCGGGCAGGGAGTCTAGTTTCTTCCTTTTCACAAGGCTGGCAGTAAACTTCAAGCTCTTCTTCAGATGCCTTGTATATTGATGATGGAACTTGTGTTGATGCTTTCCTTCCAGAGACAGCCATGCTTTACCTATTTAAATATATTGTTTCAGAGTTAAGAATCTTTTATCTATTCCATGTGTGTGTAATTGTCCTTTAGAGAATTCAAAGAACTACAGGAATTTTTGTGATTATGCAGCACTTCCTTTCCGAGTATCATTGAATTTATTGATTCATATTTTATCAACTATTTAAAAGTAAAATACATTAAATTTTTATTTGTAGACAGATTCCTTATTATGCCCCCTTGGAAGAAGAGGGGGGTATATTGTTTTGCTAAGGACAGTCGGTCTGTTCGTAGGTTGACCACATGGTTTCGGCAGATTTTCTTAAAAACTATTTATCTCAAAGTCTGCATAATTCGCATAGTGATTGGTCATAACTAGTAGATAACCCCTATTGATTTTGGGGTCACTAGGTTAAAGGTCAAGGTCAAAGGTGCCTTAAATGTCAAAATAGTTTCCACTGATTATCTTGAAAACTGTTCATCATAAGTCTTCATATTTCACACAGTGATTGTTCATTGCTATCAGATGACCCCTTTCGAATTTGGGGTCACTAGGCTGAAGGTCAAGGTCACAGGGGCCTTAAATGTCAAAATGGTTTCTGCTGATTATCTTGAAAACTAGTCATCACAAAGTCTTCGTATTTCACATGGTGATTGGTCATTACAAATAGATGACCCCTATTGATTTTGAGGTCACTAGGTCAAAGTGACAGGGGCCTTTAATGTCAAAATAGTTTCTGCTGATCTTCTTGAAAACTATTCATCATAAAGTCTCCATATTTCAGACAGTGATCGATCATAACTAGTAGATGAAACCTATTAATTTTAGGGTCACTAGGTCAAAGGTCAAAGTCACAGGAGCCTTAAATGTCAAAATGGTTTCCGCTGATTATCTTGAAAACTAGTAATCACAAAGTATTTATATTTCACATTGTTATTGGTCATAGCTAGTAGGTGACCCCAATTGTTTTGGGGTCACTAGGTTCAAGTTCAAGGTCAAAGGGGCCTTGAATATTAGAATGGTTTCTGCTCATTATATTGTTTAATATTTATCACAAAGTCTTCATATTTCACTTATAAAATTGTCATAACTGGTTGATGACCCCTTTTGATTTTGGGGTCACTGGGATAAAGGTCAAGGTCACAGGGGCCTTGAATGGTATTATGGTTTCGGTTTAGTTATCCCAAAGATTTCATATTTCATATAATGATTGGTCTTAACTAGTAGATGACCCCTATAAATATTAGTGTCATTAATTCAAAAGTTAAGGTCACCGGGATCTTAAATGTCAGAATGGTTTCCCCTTATTATCTTGAAATCTGTTTATCACAAAGTCTTCATATTTCACATATTGATAAGTCGTAACTATTTCATGACCCCTAATGATTTTGGGGTATCTAGGTTAAAGGTCAAGGTCATAGCTGTCGTAAATGTCAGAATGGTTTGCGCAAACAATTTATCACAAAATCTTCATGTTTCAGATATTGATTGGTCATAACTATTAGATGATCCCTACTGATTTTTTGGTAACAAGGTTAAAATTCAAGGTCATATGTGCCTTAAATGTAAGAATGGTTTCTGCTCATTATCATAAAACTTTTTATCACAAATTCTTCATATTTCATATATTGAATAGCGATATGTAGTAGATGACCCCTTTTGATTTTGAGATCACTAGTTCAAAGGTCAAGTCACAAGGGCCTTCAACGTTAATATGTTTTCTGCTTACTACCTTGAAAACTTTTTTTATCACAGTCTTCATATTTAACATATTTATCAAAATTTGGTCACTAGTTCAAAGGTCAAGCTCTTTATATTTCATTTATTGGTTGGTTATAACTAGTAGGTCATTATTTTTCTTTATTCCATAACTGAACACTTCCATGTACCTATTTATGGCAAGTTTTTATATATACAAATAATGTGAGTCTGGGCATACGTGTCATTCGACATTTCTTTTTATACAGTTTACTTGAAACTGAAGTGAGCAAGCAGTCCATTCTTCTTATAGAAGCAAATATTACACCACAATCCTTGAACTAATGGCTGTAAAATGTATTTCAATCTTTTGTAAATGAAGTTTAACATTATCTGCCATGTATTTAAATACTTTTAGTGTATAGATTGTTTTGAAATTTGCATATTTTAAAATGTGGTACCTTTAAAATGATAACTCTGAATAATTTTAAACGTTTCTAAATACTTTTTCAAAAGAAAGGAGTATCATAAGGTTTTGAAATTGACATTATTCAAACATGTTGGATAAATATGATTTATAACTACATAATTGTAGTAGCAGTTATAAATGGAATTAACTTTTTATACACGCAGAAGAATGCTCTGTTTAAAGTCAGCTAAATTTATTTTGATTAAAGTACTAGTATATTTCCGTCCGGAACACAATATGATTGTACAACATCACAACAGCAATACATAAATCATCATTTTACAATTTTACAAAACAAATGGCATTCTGTATAACCTATCTAAAGTTACTTGTATATTGCTTTTCCTCTTCATTAGTGAGTTTTGGTCGGTTACTCCCTATTCATTGATTAAAGTGGAGATATTTTCTTGACCCACTATTTTAGCTTAAAGCTTCTTACACAATTGAATTAAAACAAATTCAGTATGAGCTTAATATGTTTCTTAAAACAGATAGAAAGGTATTCAGATTTTACAAATGTCTTGTTAAAATCCAAAAGAGGTAGAGCTGAGATATTTTTGCACTGTTTGTAATTCAGGCGGTATGAGAAATGTTTGCAAATATGTATATTCCAACCGTTGAAGTTTTAGACAGTAAAGTGAATTGGTTAGTAATGGAAGGTTTTTGATTCCATAATAGTATTTTGTTTCATAAATGACAACATTGAACCTCAAAAGAATTATATATGGATGATGTTGGTTGGTGTGATAAACATGATCTTATATGACATATCATCTTTTGAGTAGAATAATATTAAATCTAGGAAAGGTATCAACATGGAACTTGGAGTATTTGTTTATCATGGCAAGGTTCAATTTTAGACAAGTGTCACAGTTCTGAGCGTTATATGTTTTGGGTAATGCCCCCTTTTAACTTAAAAAAAATCTGTCAAAATGGCCTACAACTTTTAAGTAGAATATCTTTAAAATAATGAAAGGTATCACCATGAAACTTGGAATACTTGTTCATCCCGACAAGGCACAATTGTAATACAAGGGGCATATTTCTAAAGCTTTATCTTTTGGAGTTATGCCCTTTTTAACGTAGACTGTTTGGCACGTTTGCCTGTAAAGTAGAGTGACTATAAACTATGAACGATATCAACATGAAACTTGGAATACTTTTTCATCATTACAAGGTACAATTGTAAGAAAGGAATTTAATTATCAAAGCGTTGTTTTCGGAGTTATTCCTCTTTTTAACTTAGAATTATCGTCATTATGGCTTAAGTTGAATGATTTCCAAACTATTAAAGATATCAACATGAACTTTGGAATACTTGATTATTGTTACAATCCATTGTTGTAAGACTGGGAGCATTATTCTTAAAGCAATATTTTTAAAAATCACATATTCCTTTGATACACATTCTTTATTGATAACTGTTTTTTCTTAAAAGTTTAGCGTTAACACCACATACGGTGCTCTTATTTTTCTAATTAACAAAGAAATCTGGAGTTGTGCTAGTTAAAAAAAACAAGCTTATTAATTAATGATTTTAATATGCAGGTAAATCTAAAAAAAATAATACCTGTAGCAATCCTTAGTGTTATTGTTTCACAAAGTTTTAAATCGTTCACTATATCTCCTCTTACGAAATGTTAAAATGTAAATATTTTACTGTTACTATTGACTTAATGGAATTTAATCTCGACTTTTTTCGCAACATTGATTTTTTAACAATGTCATTTCACAATTTTTTTTAATGTAAACCTTTGTTTTTAACAAGTTTATTTCATGAATGTAAACCTTATTTCATTTAAACTCCATGATAGCATTCATTTTATTATGTAGTTGAGTTTTACTTATTATGCCCCCACTTCAAAGAAGAGGGGGTATATTGCTTTGCACTTGTCGTCCGTCGGTGCGTTGGTCCGTCGGTCCGTAGACCAAATGGTTTCCGAGTGATAACTAAAGAATGCTTAGGCCTAGGAACTTCAAACTTGGTATGGTGATTGGTCATGACCAGCAGATGACCCCTATTGATTTTGGGGTCAAGGGGTCAAAGGTCAAGGTCACATTGGCCTTGTAAGTAAAAACGGTTTCCGATCAATAACTAAAGAATGCTTAGGCCTAGGAACTTCAAACATGGTATGGTGATTGGTCATGACTAGCAGATGACCCCTATTGATTTTGGGGTCAAGGGGTCAAAGGTCAAGGTCACATTGACCTTGTAGGTAAAAACGGTTTCCGAGTGATAACTAAAGAACCCTTAGGCCTAGGAACTTCAAACTTGGTATGATGATTGGTCATGACCAGCAGATGACCCTTATTGATTTAGGGGTCAAATGTCAGGGTCACATTGACCTTGTAGGTGAAAACAGTTTCCAATCAATAACTAAAGAATGCTTAAGCCTAGAAACTTCAAACTTAGTATGATGATTGGTCATGACCAGCAGATGACTTATTGATTTGGGATCAAAGGTCAAAGGTCAAGGTCACGTTGACCTTGTAGGTAAAACGGTTTCTGACCAATAACTAAAGAATGCATAGGCCTAGGAACTTCAAACTTGGTGTGATGATTGGTCATGACCAGTAGATGACCCCTATTGATTTGGGGTCAAGGGGTCAATGTCATATTGACCTTGTACTTAATGACGGTTTGTGACCAATAACTCAACAACTCAAGTTGCCTCGGTTGATATTTTTATATTAAACTAAAAATGCTTTTGGTATACACATTTGAAGGTCTTATGTAATATAACAATTTGGCTGTCATTAATGAGGCCTACATGATTCATAAAATGTATGCATATATTATTTGTAAGATTTGTAATAACTTAAATTGCTGCACACAACCTATGGGGTCACAATAATTATTACCTTTTGACTAGTCATGACCTGTAGATACTAGATAACCCTTATTAATTGTTTGTTCACTGGGTCAGAAGTCATGCATAACAACATGATCTTATGACTAATTAGCTGCCGATAGGGGGCATACATGTTTTACAAACATATCTTGTTTCTAAAGGTTTGAGATAATATCGTGTTTTCGTGATCATTTTTTTAAAAAAAGAGGATAAGTATTTTTTAAGAGGACATTAGCATTTATTATTCGTGAAAAAAAAATTCCAATTTTATTTGAAATTTAAATCTAAATATGATCTTTAGAATGTGGGATGGTGCCGTAATACATTTCAGTCTGAAGTTAGTTATTTGTGTGCATTTGTTGATAAACTGGCACATTAAGATCATAAATTGTATTGAGATAATATAAAAAAATGGGTCATGAATATCTTGAAAAACATTTAAAGTAAAATAATATGATTCTTTTTTCTTCTTTAAGTACCAAGTGTATTAGTACTTAATCTGTTAATATGTCACAATTTTGTGTTTTGAAAGACCATTGATCAACTAAAAAAAACATAATGAAAGTATAGTATTTCATTACATACGCACTCCGTACAAAAGTCCCAGGCGGTTAATAATATATTCTTTCATGGAAAATTACATATAAATTAGGTGAAATGTAAAGTATCAGTGCTACATATGTATAAGTTGCAATGAATTGAATTAATTTCTCGTGTTGTGAAAAGTATGCATACCTCTAAAAGAATTATTTAGGTTAAAGGATAGCCATGAGAGATAGTGAATCTTCCACGAACAGGCTCAATCAAACAGCTTTGGCTTTCTTTAGGGGTCCTGTTTTTCTTATTTTATCACCTAATAAAGTATGTCCTTGGCATAAAAGAAAACTGTCCATTTGTGGTCTTGTCCTAAATCTAGTATCCTATAACGCATGCTAAGCGTTTAATTGTTCCTTTAATTGTCGCAAATTTTTACGAATCTTTCTTAAAATTACACTATCGATAACATTCTGGAACTCTGTCTCAGGTTCTGTTTTAGCAACAACGAAAATCACATGGTATAGCAACCTTGCTTAGACAAGCATCAACCGAAATTATGTAAAAAGGCCAGACTCAAGGGTCTCATTAGTTTTCTTACCTTGTAGAATGACTTAAAAATCTTCCGATTAAAAACTGCAGCGGACCCCTGCAAAGTTTTATTATTTATGTCCTTGGTGTCGCACATGGCCCAAACACATCTGTCTTCTACACATGTATTGCATAAACAAATAAGAAAGCAATTTTTTATCTTCTTTTCTTGAGTTTTCTGTCGGTAAACCTAAAGTATTGGGCATGTAGCATTGCCTTGCCGAGTGGTCTTCTACAAAAGTTTTATAAATAATTTTCTTCATTCTAAAGACATTTTATATAAAATAATTTGGATTTAGAATAGCTGTATTTAAACCTAAAACAATCCGGTTAAACGTTTCTCAATATCATTTGACTTTCACCTGTTCACTAACTATGTTCATTGGAGCATGGGCATAATGTCACTTAAAGTAATAAAAAGGACAATGTAAGGTTAAGAACAAAGACGAATTTTCAAACATATTTGATATTTATATGGTTTGAATGTTGCATTGGAGGACTTTGATAATTGTCATTTAAATCTTACAAAGGGTTTTAAATTTCTAAGACCATTAACTGAAACTAGAAATCAGTTTATCTTTTCTGCCTTCGCCATGGGTTTTATCAGTCAAGTGGACCCAACATTTGTTTGGAAAATTATTAAATAATATCAGTTGTACCCTTATTAAAATTTAAATGATATAATGTTAGAAGTGTTAAATGGCTATTTTACAAAATACTTAGTGTTTTTTTTATTTGAACTTGAAACCCAATTCCCATCTGTGGTGTTTTCAGGTTTACATTGAAGTATGATGTAATTTAGGCATTATACAATCCAACAAAAAGACTTGTTAAACAAACAGAAACAAAACAGCCACTTTTCAAACATTTTCAAATCAGTTTTTATACCCCTTAAACGAAGTTTCTGGGGGTATATAGGAGTCACCCGGTGGTCGATCGGTTGCTCGGTCGGTCGGTCCAGCGGTCCATTGCATTTTCCTTGTCCGGTGCATAACTTGAAAACTAATGGTTGGAATTCAATATAACTTCATACAGTTGTCAAGCACATTAAGAGGAAGTGCATTGCACAAGAACCATAACTTCATCTTGACTAATGACAGAGTTATTGCCCTTTGTTACTTTTCCTTGTCCGGAGCATAACTTGAAAACTACTGGTTGGAACTCAAAACAACTTCATACAATTGTCAAGCACAATAAGGGGAAGTGCATTGCACAAGAACCATAACTCTATCTTAAGTAATTACAGAGTTATTGCCCTTTGTTACTTTTCCATTGCTTTTTTTGTCCGGAACATAACTTGAAGACAAATGGTTGGAATACAATAGTCAAGCATATTGAGAGGAAGTGCATTGCACAAGAACCATAACCCCATGCTGACTAATTACATAGTTATTGCCCTTTGTTACTTTCTTTTGTCCGGAGCATTACTTGAAAACTACTGGTTGGAATTCAATACAACTTCTAACAGTTGTCAAGCACATTAAGAGGAAGTGCAGTGCACAAGAACCACTGAACCATTACTCCATTTTGACAAATTACAGAGTTACTGCCCTTTGATACTTTTCCTTGTCCGAAGCATAACTTAAAAATACTGGTTGGAATTTAAACCAACTTCATACAATGGTCAAGCACAATAGGAGGAAGTGCAGTGCACAAGAACTATTACTCTGTCCAAAGTAATTATAGAGTTATTGCCCTTTGTTACTTTTTCGTGTCGGGAGCATAACTTGAAAACTACTAGTTGGAACTCAAAACAACTTCATACAATTATCAAGCACAATAAGAGGACGTGCAGTGCACATGAACCATAACTCTATCTAAAGTAATTACAGAGTAATTGCCCTTTGATTCTTTTCCATTGCTTTTTTTGTCCGGACCATAACTTGAAGACTAATAGTTGGAATTCAATATAACTTCATAAAATGGTCAAGCACATTGAGAGGAAGTGCATTGCACAAGAACCATAACTCAATCTTGACTAATTACAGAGTTATTGCCCTTTGTTACTTTTTCCTTGTCCGGAGCATAACTTGAAAAGAACTGGTTGGAATTCTAAACAACCTCATACAATGGTCAAGCGCAATAATGGGAAGTGTAGTGCACAAGAACCATAACTCGATCTTGACTAATTACAGAGTTATTGCCCTTTGTAACGTTTCCATTGCTTTTTTGTCCAAGGCATATTTTGAAGACTTATGGTTGGAATTCAATATGACTTCATACTATGGTCAAGCACATGGAGAGGAAGTGCAGTGCACAAGAACCATAACTCCATCTTGTCTAATGACAGAATTATTACCCTTTGTTACTTTTCTTTGTCCGGAGCATAACTTGAAATCTACTGGTTGGAATTCAATACAACTGCATACAGTTGTCAAGCACATTAAGAGGAAGTGCAGTGCACAAGAACCATTATTCCATCTTGACAAATTACAGAGTTATTGCCCTTTGATACTTTCCTTTTTCGGAGCATAACCTAAAAATACTGGTTGGAATTGAAACGACTTCATACCGTGGTCAAGCACAATAGGAGGAAGTGCAGTGCACAAGAACTATAACTCTGTCCAAAGTAATTATAGAGTTATTGCTCTTTGTTACTTTTCCATTCTTTTTTTCTTGTCCAGAGCATAACGTGAAAACTACTAGTTGGAATTTAATACTATTTTATACAATGGTCAAGTTTATTAAAAGGAAGCGCAGTGCATAGAAACCATAAGTCTTTCTTTAAAAGTTTTTGCCCTTTGTTACTTTTTTATTGTCCAGTGCATAACTTGAAAATAAATGGTTGGAATTCAATGAAACTTTATACAATGGTCAAGGGCAGTGAGATGAAGTGCAGTGCACAAGAACCATAACTCTTTTTGGACTAATCTTCAGTATTTATAGAGTTATTGCTCTTTGTTCCTGTTCCTTGTCTTTCTGAACTTATTACAGAGTAATTCAATAAAACTTCATCAATGGCCAACCACATTGAAAGGAAATACAACATACAAGAACCACAACTATCTTTAATTGCCCACAACCATAACTCTATTTCAATTCTTTTACAAGGTATTCTTTACTTGTATCATCCTCTTTTCCAAAGCAGTCTTGGGGGTATTAATCACATGTAGTGATAGTTCTAGTTTATGGTTGGTGCTAATTTTAAGCGTATGTGTACAAAATTTAAAAGATTTACAAAATTAAAATGGAATAAAATGGACTTAACTTTATTTGATTTTAAAGGGTCTCCACGGTTGGGATTGTAGTCACAAGTTTGATCCACACACAATGATGTGTTTTTAGGAATTAATGTCTTAGGTCTACAGTCTTCGTGGTTTATTTCTATATCAAAATTGCATACTTGTGCTAAATGGCAACTGAATACTGCTAATATGAAGATTATATTTTACGATGAAGCTACTTATGGTCCCTTTTATAATATCCGCCCACTGTTTTCATTAGAAATATAATAGTTATTTCTTTATGTGTATTCGAGTAACATTAAGGATTGTATTCATTTCGAAATACTTGACAACATCAGAATCTAAAAAGATTTTTTCAGAAAACCGTTGAATCTGTTATTTTCTTTATATAAAGATTAGGTTACAGAATGAGATAACAATGTGGTTTTAGATGGAAAGGTCAAAGAACCATCTCACTGTCCGTCAGATTTATGAACATATTACATTTCTTATTGAGATGATGAATAAGTATGTAATAGAAGCTAATATGATATAATTAGATGACACCTGGTCTTCAAAAATAAGCTGCTTGGCTAAATTTGTAGAAAAGTGTTTTTTTATGGTAGAACATCTTTTTTCTTTCCTTCCCATTGAATGTGTTCTTGTAATGTATTTGCAGAAAAGATCGAAACCTACACTTTTTGTCATCAAGACATGTTCAGATTACAACATACATAATATTCTGCAATAAACTGTATGTTTTGCAATTGCTTAGAATACAAAGATTGCCGTTTCTTAGAAATGTTTTACAATCTAATTGTATAGTTACACCCCTTTTAAAATACAGACATAATGTGTTATAACTGAAATTGAGGCATTAAAAGATTAAAGATGCATTAAAGTTCTCGTGGGTGAAATGACTGCAATAGATAATAAGTCAATCTTTTATCAGACAATAGCTTTAAAAATAATATTTACCTCAATATAGGAGATGGTTATTTACTATTTAGAGGATGAGTTTAATTTATAAATGAGTTAACATATGAAATTGCATTTTAATATGTCATTCATTTGTGTTTATTATCTTAAACAAAAAAATCATTTCTGTACTGTGTAATTAATATGATTTCTAGCTTAAAGTTCATTTTGTAAATACCCGCAGATGGTTTTTGATATTTTTGTTTGTATATATTTAGATTGCAGTTTGAAATTAATTCTTAAGATAAAAAAGCAATTTTCGTTTTCTTTTTATGAAAATATTATAGCATGATATCTGTGAAGATTAATCTAATACAAGAATGCACTATCACTGTCGGGACTTTCAAATGGCAATTATTATCAAACAATTACTTGGTACTCCCATGCGATATTTCTTCTTAAAGTCACTTTTGGTGCGAATAAATAACACAATTGCTTTCACACTGTATATTGTGCATGAACAATGCGATAGATTGGTCATTGTTTAAAATATTTTCCCTTATAGCCATGGAGGGGTGTAAAGGTTAATGTCATTAATTTCTTATTAGTTATAAAATATAAAAGATTTGTACGTTGATATTGACTGATCGATGCATCAGCAAAATGGGTGCTTGTATATATTGATGCAATAATATGACCTGGTGCCTCAACATAGATCGGTGCAGTTATAAAGACAATTTAGACTAGTGTATAAGTATAGACACATGTATTAATATATACCTTGTACTAGTGCATTGATAGATATATGTGCATAGATTAAATAAGACACCTTAACGTGTTCTGGTATTTTATAATGATTTGCACTGATTAAGGCATCTAGCCGAAATGTATGCAATAAATAATTACTGAATGTTCGTGTTTGTGGGTCTTGTTTGTTGATTATAATATAGATTAGTATTCCAATATAGGCAAGTACATTATTGCAGCCTGGTACAATGAAATAGACAGGTGCAATAAGTAATAGAAAGAGCACCGAAACACGAGGCTATCTGATTTGTACGAGGGGGCGTAGCCCCCGAGTATTAATCAGATTGCCGAGTGTTTTGGTGTTCTTTCTCTTTTGTATCATAGTCAAACATAAAAGCACGTTCCCTGTTGTCACAATATGAAACCCCGGCAAAAATGAACCAATGAACGAACATCTGAATATGACATTTCTGTCGCTTTCCCTTTCTCTGCCGTCACAATATGTAAACCCCAGCAAAAATGAGCCAATCAATGGGCATGTTCTGGAGTGCGGGTAACTAATACCCGCACTCCAGTTAACGCACTGTGCATGTATATGTATACGATTAAACCCTGACACATTTTCAACAGAAAGGTCTCCAAACTATGATACAATATAGACTGGTACCATAGTTAAGAGTGTGCATCATTATAGACTATTACATTAAAATAGACAGGTGCAATAATATGTACAGGTACACTAAACAGACAAGTGCATCAATATAGACTAGTACACTAAACAGACTGGTGCATCTATATAGACTGGAACAATAGTAAAGACTGGTGCATTAATATAGACTGGTATACTAAACGGAGTGGTGCATCATTACGGACTGGTTCAAAAGTAAAGACTTGTGCATCAATCAGTAAAGACTGTTACACAGGTGCATAATAAACTAAATGGACTGACATAATTGTCAAAACTGGTACATTAATATAGGCTGGTGCATCAAATTATAGACGAGAGCATTAATGTAGACTGGTGCGTTGATATAAACTGTAGTATTAATAACAGATGAATTTATTGTTTAATTCTAGGTACAACTAGACCACGACTATGGTGTAAGTGATATAGCTGTAGATGACAACTGTGATATATTGGTGTCTGCCACTAGGGAGGGACATATCTATGTCTGGGATCTACAAAAATATGCTCTTAAAAATGTCTTTCAAGGTAAACACCAATTTTCTTTTTAAAAAAAAAAAAAAAACAGGAAAAAATGAACTTACTTAATCATATGATAAAATGGGATAGATATTAGAAAAAGTTGCAATATTTGAAGATTACCAACTTAAACAGGGAACTTAAGTTGAATGTTTTGTTGGATGTAATGGAAAAAAATTAAGTTAGTTATATTTATCTATGATTTATTTAATTAATTAATTTAATTAATTTATTATTTAATTGCTTTAATTAATTAATAATTTTTTCAGTCTGTTTGTGTAAATGATTATTTGTTAAACAATTGTATATTCATTTATATTTTTGGTATTATTTAAAGTTCGTTAATTTATTTATATATTCAATTTTCTCTTTTTTTTTTGGTATTAATGAATTCATGAATTTATAATCTATAAGACGTATAAATCAATATACGTATTATTGTCTGTAGTAATTTATTTATAAATCTATTTGTATATTTATTTTATGTTATTTAATTGATTTTTATTAGTCCCCTACCGGTTTACCGGAGGGGACTTTAGGTTTACCCTCCGTCCGTCTGTCTGTCTGTCTGTCTGTCCGTCAGTCCGTCCGTCTGTCCGTCCGTCAGTCCGTCCGTCCACAAAACTGGATCCCGCGATAACACAAAAAGTACTGAAAATATTTTAATGAAACTTGATATATGGATAGATGGCTGTATGGAGATTATGCACGTCTTTTTCTTTTCTTCCTATGTTGAAAATTCTGGTTGCTATGGCAACAAATAGACTGAAAATATGGCAAATTTTACACATAACCTGGATCCCGCAATAACGCAAAAAGTACTGAAAATATTTTTATGAAACTTGATATATGGATAGATGGCAGTATGGAGATTATGCACGTCTTTTTCTTTTCTTCCTATGTTGAAAATTCTGGTTGCTATGGTAACAAATAGACTGAAAATATGGCAAATTTTACACATAACCTGGATCCAGTGATAACACAAAAAGTACTGAAAATATGTTTATGAAACTTGACATATGGGTATATGGCAGTTTGGTAATTATGCACATCCTTTTCTTATCTTCCTATGTTGAAAATTCTGGTTGCTATGGCAACAAATAGACTGAATTTCAAGATTTCTGATTCTAGTTTTTAAGTTTTTTCACTATAAGTTCGTTATTTCTTAAGGTATTTTCTTCAAACTTTAAATATAAGTTGCTTGTAATCAACCACATCATATATGACAAGGTTTACAACTCTAGCACAAAATTTATCAGAATTACCTCCCTTGAACTTAAAATTTTCATGAAAAAACATTGTTTTTATGCCCCCGCCATGTAATGGCCGGGGCATATAGTGTTACCCTGTTCCGTCATTCCGTCCTTCCGTCCTTCCGTCATTCTGTCATTCCGTCATCATCAGTTTCCGTTCATTATCTTAAGAACGGTTGGACATATTCAACTCAAATTTGACATATGGATATGTCATGAGAAAATACAGGTCAAGTTCGAATTTGGTCATGGTTCGATGATTTTTGGCAGAGTTATGCCCCTTTTACTTTGAAAATAATATGAAATTTCAGTTTCCGTTCATTATCTTAAGAACGGTTGGAAACATTCAATTCAAACTTGACATATGGATATGTCATGAGAAAATACAGGTCAAGTTCGAATTTGGTCATGGTTCGATGATTTTTGGGAGAGTTATGCCCCTTTTACTTTGAAAATAATATGAAATTTTCAGTTTCCGTTCATTATCTCCCTCAAGGTACAACACATTCAACTCAAACGTGACATATGGATGCGTCAAAGGAATGCGCAGGTCAAGTTCAAATTTGGTCATGGTTCAATGATTTTTGGCAGAGTTATGCCCCTTTCACTTTGAAAGTAATATGAAATTTTCAGTTTCCGTTTATTATCTCCCCAATGGTACAACACATTCAACTCAAATTTGACATATGGATATGTTTTTGGAATGCCCAGGCCAAGTTCAAATTTGGTCATGGTTCAATGATTTTTGGCAGAGTAATGCCCCTTTCACTTTGAAAATAATATGAAATTTACAGTTTCTGTTCCTTATCTACCCAACAGTGTCACATATTCAACTTTAATTTGACATATGGATATGTCAAAGGAATGGGCAGGTCAAGTTGGAATTTGGTCATGGTTTGATGATTTTTTGGCAGAGTTATGTCTCTTTCACTTTGAAAATAATATAGATACATCTTATGAATAAGCAGTTTAAGTTTAACTTTTGGTCATGGTTCAATGATTTTAGACAAACTTATCTTTCCTGAATGTTGGAAAAATTTTGAACTTTCAGTTTCACCACTCATTCTTTTAGCCATTATTTTGGCTACAAATATGCAATATGCTATTTCTGAAAGGTCAAGACTGAATAATTTCAGTGCTTTGAACATTGTATGGAAATGGTTTGTGTTAACATTGAAAAGTTTTAAGGGCTTTGAACTTAAAATGAAAAAAATAACTAATGCACCATCTGAAATTTTGGCTGCATGCGGGGGCATCCGTGGCATGATGACACATTTCTAGTTTTTTAATAACTTCTTTTTCTGAATGTATCTACTTCAAACTTCATATAAATGTTTCTTATTATCACTCAACATTTGTGAGTGTTCAATACTCTAGCAAGACTATTTCCAGAATTATGCCCCTTTTGAACTTAGATTTTTTTTTGAGAAATTGGTAATTTTAACTTCTTCAATCATGATAGGATTTTAAAAATGTTATATTTTGATAACAGGGATGTTTAAAAAATGACTTTAGAGTGTCCTTCAGTCCGTCTGTATGTACATAAAAACTGTTTCCTGTGATCACTTTTAAAGAACTTTTTCAACAAATTTACTTAAAATAGGAACATAAGTGAATGGCCAATGGCCCTTCAGAATGTTGCTTGGGCTCTTACCGGTAGGGGACTTATGGATTGCTTGCAATACTATGTTAATTGCTTGTTCATTTATGTTTTCTTTTATATATATATATTTGTAAAAATTTAAATAACTAGTTATTTATTTATTTTATTTTATTTATTTATTTTTTTATTTATTTATTTATTTATTTATTCATTCATTCATTCATTCATTCATTCATTCATTCATTCATTCATTGAAATTCATTTATTTATTCTATTCATTTATATTTATTTGTTTTATTTATTTATTTGTAAATTCATTCATTCATTCATTCATTCATTCATTCATTCATTCATTCATTCATTCATTCATTCATTTATATTTATTTTTTATTTATTTATTTATTTATTTATTTTTTTATTTATTCATTCATTCATTCATTCATTCATTCATTTATATGTATTTATTTATTAATTTATCTATTTATTTATTTATTTTCAGCTCATGAAGGAGTTATAAATGCTGTAAGATTGGACCAAGGTATGTTTCTATACAGAATCCCTAAAGAAAGCCCAACACGGCAAAATTGAAAATGTTGCAGGCTCGGTTTGATTGAGCCTGTTCATGGACAGTCTCATTTGAAATGTAAAATAAACGTCTTTTGAGTATACACATAGAAGATCTGTTACGTTTTAAAACTCTACAATGTATAGGTTAACACTTTATGATTACAAAGTGTCATAAAATACTATTTTGTTTTTGATTACTTAATTTACCTAGTTTTAGTGAGTATAGTTGCCAAACAGTGCATTCTCTTAGTATCCAAATAAGACAAAGGTTTTTTTTTAAATTTTCTTAGATTTCAATTGAATTCTGCATTAAAAAAACTCTAAAGATGAGCATTATTATAATATAGTTAAAGTTTTAGTCTTTTGCGTTTTATATATTGTCTCATAATTATCTCAGTTCTGTCAGAATACATGGTTTCAAACATTGGAATTTTTTAAGAGTTTATGAAATATATAAACACATAGTACAAAGGTTAAGGTAGTTGACTTTAAATCACTCGCCCCTTGTGTTCGAATTCCGACAAAAAAACGAGGATTCTTTCATGTGAGGAAGCTATCCAGATAGCTTACGGAAAACGGTGGTTCTACTCAGCTTTAAATAATGCAAGGAAGGGCATCAGAGGTCTACCTACACCAGTCAATCTGGAATGTCGCCAAATGATACTATGTTGATAAAACCCAACAAATAACATACAAAAAAAACTCGACAACAACAACATACAAATATCATGGTGCTCATCAGTATCGGTAGCCTTTTTGTGATTTCTGATTTTTCTGTACCCTCTTTGTAAATGCACAGGTCATTTGCTGCTGAAAACAAATCGTCAACAGACAGCAATCCGGAGAATGTTCATTCTACTGATATAACTATGTTGTTTTTAGTAATGTGTCCACTTTTCAATTACTGCAGCTTCACAATAAAGCTGTGTCCATTCTAGGATTCAAAAGACAGCGGGTGGGGGGTTATCGAAAAGTGAGAATTTGTTACATTTGTTGTTTTTTTCCTTCTTTTTCTATGTAGAAATTTCCCCCTGCCTCTGAAAAAAGGGGGAATTCTCAAAAATGTGAGTGATTCCCCCATCCGCCTTCCTAGAACATGTAGAATAGCCACTGATAAAGTCTATATAATACATGCTATCACCATGTTTTGCAACATCCACTGCCTCGGCGTGATCTGAATACAAGAAATATGTATAGTGTGTACATATTCAAATCACTGGTTCATCTAAGTCCACAGTGTATGTCGAGCCGTTGGGTGTGCCAAAACATCGCTATATTCTGGATTTTGACTTATTTTGGAGTTACATTTAGTTAGAAAGAGACACATTACTTAGAAACACATACCTAAAACATCTCCATATATTCACTCTGTCTGCATATTTTAACATAACTTATTTATTTGTGATGATAGCTGAAATCATTTATTTCTTCACTGTAGACGCTACAAAATAAGCATTTGTCTGGTTACCAACTGCAATCATTTGATTATTTTACAAATAATTTATCTCTCATGAGTTTATATAAAAAAACTTTCGTTTTAATATTTATAACTAAACTAAGTTAATCATACTCGTAATATTTGTTAATTTTTTTAATTGTTAACGTTATTCAATTACCAGTTTTTATCATTCAGGGTGTAGCAAAATAGTGAGCTGTGGTACTGATAGTTATCTCAGGATAATAGACTTAGGGTCCGGAACAGAAATCTTCGTAAAGGATATCAGAGAGATAGTACTGTAAGTTATAATCATTTTTTCACTCCTCTCTATCGTATCAGGCGAACTGAATTGCATAAAGTGACATTATGCCCATCATAGATTAAATAGTAAATGTTCTGGTAAAAGTAAAATAACTTCACATTTTGTATATTTTAGGCAGTTTATATATTTTTTCTTTAACATTTGTGATCGTTAATAATTAGTGTGCAGTCGCCATTTAAATAGTCAATCGTTTGAAATATACGACCAATTTATCACAGTTTGACAGTGAAATAATGAGCATAATGTCACTTTAAACATTTTCTTTTCAAAAATATTATTAAAAAAGCCAGTTTAATGTGACATATTTGTAATTACCTTTTAAGACCAAGTGGCAATTATTGAAATTTGTCTGTTATTCTAACTGCTAGAATATTAAAGAATTTCATTCCAAGAGATGTCAGCCAAATTGTAATCAAGCAATGTACAGTGACGAGAATTATTATATGCTTTATATAGTAATTTCATGACATTCATATTATAGAATATAATTGGAACAATACAAGAAACTAAATTGATTTTTTTCATCTTTACAATATGTTTTCTAATTGTTTGACAAATAATGGTATGAAAAAGAGAAAACAAAATGAATGTTTTAATAAATGGTTGTTTCTTAACGTAAGAACATTTACATTTTGTTATTATAAGAAATGGACAACCATTAAATTTCTTTTAATTTGAATAAACATACACACAAAGAACAACCAATGCTTAGGACTGCACTTTTCCTTTCGCTTCATTTACATGCATTTTAAAGAAATAAGCGATATGCAGTGAATGGTACAAATTACAGCATCCAGTGCACCATTGCACAAATAGTATTTTAAGTACCATATAAATGGACATGCGTCTTTACGAAGCTTGTAAAATTCATTCAACAACATATTCGTATGCAACCTTTGCATTCTTCTTTTAACCATCACATAAAAAGAGTGAACATTTTTAGCTGAAAAATGCAGACTTTGTTTTGTTGAGTCGGTTAATGATGCATAATATCTCTTATATTTTGCAGTTGTCTTGCCATGGTGAATAATGTATTGCTATTAGGAACAGAAAAAGGTCATATACAAGTGTGGGATATGGAAAAAGTACAGATGTTGCATCAATTTAAGGCCCATGAAGGTATTCCTTATCTGTTGTATTTACATCTCCTTTTATTAAGATATTATTTATCATATGATTATTTAATATTGATAGCTATTTGTAGAATAAGCATAGGTATTATTACATTCATTGACAAGTGGATTTGGCAAACCTGATTTGATGATCAAAATGCTTTTCTTATTAACCTGCTAGAACAGAAAAACATAGATCAGGGTCATCTGGACAGTCTGATCAGACTCTATACTTTTGTTCGATCAATTTTTGTAGTCCCTTAAACTTCAAATGGACGGCTCTAAATTCAAAGCCAGGAAAAACATTTTTCATTTTCAGCAGGTTAAAGGTTAAACCGATTGCAATGCATGTATTTAACACAAAACAATGAACCATTATGTGTATTTTTATATTTCAAAAATTGAATTGTAAATCATAGGGCAATGATTAACACGTACAATAAACTACAATGTAATAGCATATTATTTGTCTACATGTTACACAGAGAAAGTTCCGCCTTAGGGCTGATGGGTTACTTTTAAGGGCATCAGAATTGAAGCCACCGTTTATCCATACATGATCATAAGAGGCGACTAAAGCGTTCGAATTTCTGGAGTCTGTGCATCTCTTAGGTCCAGGTGGTTGTGGTCCCTGGTGGTGCTTTAAGTTTGTTACACCTGAGGTTAGCCAAAATCATCATATGACATAAATTGTGATGTGCCCTGTAAAACCAAACAAAAGAAACAAACAGATCAAGGAGTGATATATGGTTATATAGTTATTTTTAAAAATGAAGTTATTCTCTATTATTTGCAAAAATAAAATATTGCATTTTGTGCGGTTTATATACAATGAACATGTTATTGTATTTTAAGATACAATCAAATTTAATTTCAAATCTCTGAAGTGTCTTTGGTTTTGTATAATATCAAATTATCTGTAAAATACCGTCGTATTTATTTTAAAGGTGCAGTTACATGTATACACATGACAAATGATATGTTTTTACTGTCTGGGAGTGAAGATAGATCTGTGAGCCTCTGGAGACCGTCAATAAAATGATCATCATGTGTAAGATTGGCTTGAAAACAGTTAAAGCGAAGTGAAGAATGAGTGCCAAAAGAAAAAAAAATAGAATGAGTTATATATGCAGACATATTCCTGTCGTTTGAAAATTACATAGTTACATTAACAATTTTACTAGAAACTTCTTGCCATGATACTTTATACTGTACACAAGCCATTTTTTGAAATATCGGAGGTGTGGTGAAAAAATTTGAATTAGCCCTTTTTATAGTCAGATGTATTAGTAATTTTCCAAGTCACCAGTATAGAAATCTTGAGAAAGAGTGACCCCTCGTGCATTAATCACAACAAAATTTCATGAAAATTGCCGGCTTGGTTTAATTGAGTCTGTACATGAGGGATATTAAAAATGTGCCCAATAACATTGGCTGAGCTCTGCAAACCCGCAAGACCTGTATAAACTGTGCCCTTTTTTATTCACGCTTATTATGAAAAATATAAAACAAACCTTCACATTGCCAAGAGAAATGTCCATTTTTAGAACAGAACGTATGTATAATATGAAAATAAAGAATAAAATGATAATTTGTTAAAGGTTATTAAAGGTTTAATGCTTACAATTTTTACTATAGAACACTGTTTGTATACAAATTTGTTTCGTGTGATGTCTTTTGACTGGAAATTATTTTATTAGGTGTTAATTTGAATGTTGGTAGCTCGATTAATTCTTATCGAGGAATTCTTAAGTAGCTACTATAAACATATGTATAATTTCATGTCATGTAAATTAATACTTTCCTGTATATTGCATTGAAATTGGTCATACTTCAACGGGTTTCCCGATTATATGACTTGAATGCAACTTTATCAACTTAAGTTATTAAAAGTGCAAATGCAGTCAAAGATGAACTATGAAATTGTTCATTGAAATTTAAGCAATTTAGTTTTCCAATTAACTTACAATAAGCCTGATACTTCTTAGTTTTCTTGTTGTTTACATGTTGAATAATCATCAGGGTATATATATTTTAGGTAATTAAGTTTGTTTGTTTGAATCTTTTAATTGCAAATTTAAATTGAGATTAATAAAATGAAATAAATTTTGTTTGTGTGTTTGTCTTTTGTTCATTAGGAAACTTTATGCAGAAGACATTTTTTTTCTTCAATATTTATATCGTCTGCTTATTATATAGCTAATATCAAATAAGTGAAAAAAGTATTCCTTTCGTGACTGACGTCATCACTGTCAAGTTTCATTAGCCTAAGTGTTGTGGTAAGGACACAACTATTAATATAAGTTTTAATGAATTAAATATAAATCTCATATTGACATGGAGTGTGGGTTGACTGAAACTTTTCATTCATATATCTTCTATTATTGATTGCTTTATGAGAATGACAAAAAAGAGAAACTATAGAAATACCAACAGCAATTTTGAAATCTGAATTTTTGTTGCTGTCATAAATCATTTAATATAAAAGCCATGTTTTAATATTGCTGAAATATACAAGTGTCTGATTCAGAAATGAAAAATAGAGTTGTTGTGCTTTTTGCATAGATTTTATAAATGCTTGCTTTTTCAGAAATATTTATGGAACAGTAATGAAGTGTGATTGATAAATTTTTCAAAATAAAACAAATATTTTTTAAAAGATTTAATATCACAAAATGTGTATTTTAAGATGTGTTTAATGGCTGTCGTGTTTAACAAACGTTAAATGTAATAATTAACAAGTGTGTGTCTTGAATCTTGATTAAAGATGTCTTGAATCTTGATTAAAGATTATGTTAAAGCAAGCGTGAATGTTGAGATAAACTAATCATCGTGTGAAATGGCTAGGGCATATAGTGTTCCCTGTTCCGTCATTTTGTCATCATCAGTTTCCGTTCCTTATCTTAGTAGCGATTGCACACATTCAACTCAAATTTGACATATGAATATATCATGAAGAAATACAGGTCAAGTTCGAATGTCGTCATGGTCCAATGACTGACAGAGTAATGCCCCTTGATGAAATTTTCAGTTTCCATTCATTATCTCCTCAACGGTATTACACATTCAACTCCAATTTGACTTATGGATACGACAAAGGAATACAAAGGTTAACTTCGAATTTGGTCATGGTTTGATGATTTTTGACAGAGTTATGCCACCCTTTCACTTTGAAAATAATATAAAATTTCAGTTTCCGTTCATTATCTCCCCTACAGTATTACACATTCAACTCAAATGTGACATATGATTACGTCAAAGGAATGCACAGATCAAGTTTGAATTTGGTCAGGGTTCGATAATTTTTCAAGCGGACATGTTGCTCTTAGTGAAAGACAAGTCTATATCGTTTCAAGCTGATTTTCCTACCACTCTTCTCCAGCCTTTCCCATCCACTACCTCCATAAAATTCAATGTAAACGCAAAAATAATTTACTATTTCCGAAAAAATCTGCATACAGTAATAATTACGAAATCCATTATCCGACAACTTTCCCGTTATCTGTATCATTTGAATAATGTAATTATGTCCATAATTAAATGAATCCAAAATAACCAAATATTTTTAACCTTTAACATATGAGTTTTAATTAAAAACTGAATGTTCCGAAATCATGTCGTACATTTATAATATTTCTTTACACAAATTTGAGACTTTACTTATTGTTTACAAATATATCTAAACGTTTTCGTAAATTAACAAGAAAACTGGATGTGTTTATAATTATTTAAATGGTAAATGAAAAAAATAAACTGGAAAGAAAACAAGATTATAGAAAATAAAAAAATAAAGTTATTTTATCTTTTTCGCAATTAATTGCTCTCCTTTCATAGACATACAGTTTAATGAGAATCATTTTTATTCATAGTTATTGAAACGGTCATGTTGCCTTTAGTGATAGGCAATTCTATATCTTTTCATGAATGCAATTGAGTAGGTTTCGTAGAATTACAGGAAAGTAGGAATGGTTCATAATTAAGTATTTGAAATGTAAAAAAGGTGGTGATACCAATAGTATGTAAAAATTAAAAACGTATATCTAAACTGAATTAAATTATATTTAATTTCTGTTATATTATTGCGTTTTTTTTCTAGGCATACAGTTTTGATTGCAATAAATTTTATTTGAAGAAACTAAAAAAAAAACAAAGTTGTTTTAATAGTCAAGTTTCTCTTAGTGATAGTCTTGATCTTTTCATGAATGCATTTGAGAAGGTTAATCGAAAATAAACTGTAAAGGAAGCAGTGTGTTAACAATAAAATAAGGTGTATATTTTAAACTGAGCTCTTTTTTTATCTTTTCCGCAATATCTGTTGCTTTTTTTCCCCAGGCATACAGTTTTTATTACTATATATTTTATATGAAGAAACTAAAAACAATCATATATATTGAAACGGTCACGCGGTACTTAGTAATAGTCTGGAACTTGATATTTTTTATGAATGCATTTGAGAAATTTGTAAAAGATGAAATTACCAACAGTCTAATTGCTCAAATGATAATGTACAGGTTTGACATTTAATGTTACGTTTTGCTTTCTTTAAAACGACACTGTATGCATTGGATAAATTAATTTCAACAGACCTAATAACCTTTGGCAAGATCATTTTAGATATAATTAATACAGTGTTCTATATCTGATTAAATGTAGCGTAAACAGCACGTTTCATAAAATGTGTATCTGTGTTTGGACAAGACATTGTTTTGTTCGTTTGTTTGTTTGTTTTTTGTTGTTGTTGTTTTTTGTTGTTGTTTTTTTTAATTCAATCAATGTGAATATTACACAACTTTGTGGCTATCATTACATGCAAAAGTGATAAAAAGTTAAAAAAAAACAACAGCGACATGCATTTGACCGGTCAAATTAATATGAATAAAGGAAGAACACTATTATTGTAACATGGTTGATGTTGTATGGAGTGTATTTTCATTCTTTGGCTAAGAATCGCACTTGCTGTGCAATCAACGGCATTTTAACGTAAATATTTCCGTTAAATTTTTCGCTAATACATTGTACATGTTATATTAACATCAAAATCTTAAATACTCCTACCACTAAAACATGGCAATAAAAATACAATAAGGCGATGGGAAAAACTAATATATGTTGTTTGGTGATTAGTTTTGGTTTAAACATATTTTATTTCTCAGAATATATTATACATGCTACAAATTACAATAAAAACAGGATTAGAATGAAAGACAACATGTCTTATGAAATTCTCCTTGTTTTAGGAAAGATGAAAATATATTTAATACGTAGTTGTAGGGATATGTACTACTTTTCGTAAAGTTCTTTTCAGAAGTTGTATCAAAAGTTGTTTAAATTTATTGTCACAATTTTACTAGAATTAAACTCTCATTTGTACCGAGTAAAGTACTTTGAAATAAAATGGAAAGAGATCACCCTTTTCAAAACTGATAAAAGTGTGATCACGTTACCAGGGTTTATAGGTAAACATATATTTAAACAAACGCAAATGATATACAAGAACAATTAAAGCAACTTGAGCTGTCGTAAATTGTAACCAATATTCGTACGAATACACAATCAGGACAACAAAACACTATCTTCTTCAAATTGCCACATTAATTTTTTTCTACCAGTAGTGGCATATTGTGGGATTAATTTGTCATGATAACGGGGTTGATTTTTGTTCATTAATATCATGGATATATCAAGATGATAACGTGGGATTTAATCAATCGTTAAAGTCACCTTTCAAAAGTTATAGTGACATACCATGTGGTTGTCAATGGTATATTGAACAATAGTTTTTTTTCATATATTCAGCTGATAATGTTTTTAGATCTATAGACTTTTTGTAAAACTATTTTTTATTAAACCTTACTGGCATTGGTTAAACCAGACCCCTTATGTTTTGTTCAAGGACATAAGGTACTTAATAAAACACTGCCTCTTTATCCAGAAATAATCTTTAATTAAGTTTATAATAAAAACCTTTCTTGTCAAATATAATAAGATCTTACATAAATCTTTCATCTGCATTGAATAGTGGTAAATAGTGACAAAACAGTTCTATCGATGTCAGAAGCAATTTTTATTCAGTATCGACAGAAAATTGCATTCAATGTTTGGAATTATAAAGAAATGTAAAACAAACAAGCATACACATAACTGTAAAAGTGAACAAAATAATTTTCTTATTAATTAATTCCTTTACAAGTAGTTAATTTGTCAGATTTCAAATCACTTATCTTACATTTTTGAATTGTAAATGTTAAGATGAGCAATTATCACACATACTAAACAGTGACAGTTGATGTGCTTCAATTCATACGAGGTATGCAAGACTTTTTTTGTAAATGGTTAAAAATAGTGTTATGTATGCAACATGTTATATGTATATAGTATTATCACTGTTCTATTTTTAAAACATAACTACATTTATGTACTAGAACTTTCTTAACTTTTTTGTAGAAAATTCTAGATTATGATTCATGCATTATATTTAGATAGAAATTTCCGGAATATTCTTTATTGTTGAAGTTGCTAGATTATGATTACTGTAGAACATGGAGGACTATTCTGGAATGTTCTTAGCTTAATATATATACATTTTTCATTCCATTATCTTTTAAGTCATCAGTTACCTTTTAAGTCATTAATAAATTTGGAGTATTATTCAACTTGGATATTAAGTAATTTATTGGAGCTTGGATTTTAAAGTTGATTAAATTATTCTTGTGGATTTTATTGTTAATTCTAAAGTGTTCTTGGATTTAACTGTGCTTTTCAAAAAGGGATCATTCCAGGATCAGACTAAACATTTGAGATTTCATTTTATTTGGACTTCAGGTATTTGTAAACATAAAGTGTTATTAAATTTTTAGTTTAATAGTTTTTATGTAATAAATTTGTTATTGTTACAAGTTTGTTGCTGGCTTTTTTTTCTCGTTACGCCTGGCTCGTAACAATAGAGAAAATGTGTTGTTTTGCTTTTACTAAACTGCTTCGTTTATATCATTTTCTATTACCAATGAATATAAATTTATGTAATCAAGACTGAGAGATGAAAGGGTTTGACAGTTATTTAATTATATGTATTTGGTCATATATTCGAATATTGCAGTCTAGATTTTGAAAT